ATATGCGTTCTCTAAATCCACCATTAGAGGTCAGGCTTTTCTCGTATTTAATTTCTTTACTGACCAGCAGATGGCAGTGTTGATTAAATAAAACATTTGTCCCTATAGAGCAGTGGTCGCCAACCCGTCGATCGCGATATCACTGTCCCAGTAGATCCCGAAAATAAAAGTAAAATAAGTACAAAAATGCATTACATTTCTCCATTCTTTGTACTGTATTTTTTGTACTTATTTTTCTGTTATTTTCGGGAGCTACTAGGACAGTGAACAGAGGCCAGAGACGCTGAAGACAAGAAAATACTGTAGCAGGCAGAGAACAACAGCTCACTGTGTTCACGATGGTCGAAATATATGAAGAAAATATTGAATTGGGGGTATGGGGTTATATTAATAAATCACTGAAAGGAACTATCTTGAGAAACGTTTCGATGGCAATAATGGCATTTTCTTCTCTTCGTATAAAGCGCTGCTCTGCTTTGTTTACAGCGGTAACCAAGAAAACGCTATATCGCGGCTGGTTCATAAGCGCCACCTGCTGTCAGAGAGTGAATTTGCGTCTCATTCAGACCTGCTGTTTTTGTTTCATGCAAATGTGTTTAATGTAGCAAAAAAAAAAAGTGAGACCATTCTGTTTTTGTTTTAAATCCTGAAATTGTACAATCTATTTCAAACCAAAAACAACTGCTAGTGCAACATGAGAGTGAATTTGCATCTCATTCAGACCTTCTGCTGTTTTTGTTTCATGCAGATGTTTTATGTAGCCAAAAAAAAAGAGGCTAAAGTCAGACCATTTTGCTTTAAATCCTGAAATTATACAATCTAATTCAAATAAAAAATAACAGCTCATGCCTCATGCAACGTGTGCAGCATCTTTGTTTGGATCGTGATTAAGACTTTAAGGCAGTGGTTGCCTCTAATTTCAAATGCCTACAGATATTTTTTGTTTAAGACCAGCTTGCTTGTTATAAAGCAAATAGCCAATAAATACATTTGCTTAAAAAAAAATAACCCACCAGTATCACAATCATTCAATTTCCTAATAAAAAAAAAAAGTGATTCTGAATCAGCCGTTATCGGTGCATCACCACTTAAAATACTAAATAAAAGGCCTCAAAAGTACAAGTACAATCTGGGATGTCTTTTCCTATCGATTCTTCAATAGGTAGATCTCGTCTTTCATAAAGGCCAAGGTCAGGGATCTTGGTCTTAAAAAGGTTGGTGACCACTGCACTAGATCATACAAGTACCTACTGTATACAAACGTTTCAAAATCCACATGCACAACAGTCTAGATGCTTCAGTCTTTTCCATGTTGCCTGGGTTTCCATTAGCACATACACAGGCATGCAGGGAAGCATTAAAAAAGCCTCTCATACATATGATGGAAAAATTGCATCATCTTTAACACAACTAAAACACATATGGTCCATGGTTCCTAGTACTTGACACACACACTCATGCCTGTGCATTTATTATACAGTATATCATTTCCAGTTCACTGATATTTATGATCTCTTTCTTTGCCCAGATAATTCCAGTTTGATCAGCTTCGCTGAGGCCACCAATGACAACTTCAAAGGCTGAAACTCGTCTGATTAGATGTCGCAGATTTCGACAGCCATGACACATTTGTTTCATTGGCACATTAAGAACGTGTTCTCGAGCTAATTATGAATGCTTAACGCAAATCTCAACTAATTAAACTAATCCCCGTTAGTCAAATGATGAAGAGAGGGAGGATGTGATGACTATATGAAAGTCTCGACAAGTATTTGGAGACACATACACCCTCTTTTTTCTATTTTCTTTTTGCTGTGGTTTCGTTTGGACTTACTATTAAGCTCTAGCCTAAAATATACATCAGAACGCAGTTTTAAAAGCCCTCCACTGTTTTTATTTTATTGTCAATCACATAGTTAAATGCACGGCCTACAATTATTTATATGCTTATAGCAATGATAGTTGTATCGAAATATTTACTAAAGTATATCCACATCACTGTGGACGAGAAAGTGCATTCTTTTAAGCGTGCAATAAAACAATACAGCAGCACTGACACACTAATGTGTCAAAATCTTGAAGTGTACAGATTCCATTTGCATATAAGCATTACCATGCCAAATTACAACCTTAAAATTCATTATTACTTCTTCGGCACATTTCTGAAGCTGAAAACAGTAGCCGAAATAAAAACAGGAGCACCATGATGCAATTCACCTTTTCATCCCATAAATGTATATGATTGTAAGTTTATTCCTTCAGAGCTCAATATATAGAATATGTTCAGTAGAGACAGAGAGAGAGAGAGAGAGATTTACAAAAATACAGATAAAAAAAATAGAGACAGCATCTTGTAACAATTAATAATTATATAAATGAACCTTACGTCTGGAAATCAGTTGAAAAATTGGCTAGTGGAACAAAACACTATATCCTCCAGTCATCTGACAAACTATCTTCAACATAATATGATCTGAAATACAGTCATCATCGTCTCACATATTATCCAGTCCAGATAATATGTAAACTGGGATGCAACCAATGGCATGAGCTGTAGTGCAGCATGCCAACCAGATGGGGCTGAAAGGGAACAATATATACACACACATATATATATATATATATATATATATATATGTTCATATACAAGCAGAAATAAAGAAATAGAGTGTCTGAAAAGCATAAAACATCAAACTTTATGGCTTGAAGAAGCATACCTAAAAAAACATTGTTTCAAATGAAATAAATAGACATAATGATTGTACACAAAAGCAGTAAAACTTTAAACAATGTTCAACAGCAATGGATTAAAGAAAAAAAGAGACTCCCGTGACAATTGTTTTCACCCCTGAAAACCACAGAAGCAGAAGAACTGTTATATCATCACCTGACTGACTGACTGAAAGCAAACACAGCCACATCAGAGAAGAGCTCAAAGCTTTAATCTCTTAAAGCTAATTTAAGATTTTAATTCACAAAATGAGTACAATTTTTAGGCTTATGTTTATTTTAATGTAATAACCTATTTAAAAATATTATTACATTTTGTACTCGTAACTATCATGTTGAGAAAAAAGTATTGCATTATGCTTAACGTGCACTGGAGAGTACAGAACAGTCTTACGAGACAGAGCTCAAAGGAGCACGTTGTGATTTTTGGCTCTAGCTTCCAACACAAAGTGAGTTTCAGGGAATACTTTTATCTTCGGCAAATGACATTACTAAACGTTTTTCGGAAATCATTTCTCATTATTATGAATGTTGAAAGCATTTATGCTGCTTCATTTTTTTCAGGATGCTGCTGATACTTTTTTTTCCCAGGATTTTTTGAATGATGAATAGCAAGTTCAACTATTAATAGAAAAACATGAAGTAGAAATCTTTTGTAATATTATAAATATTTTACTGTCATTATTAATGAATTTAATGCATCCTTCCTGAATAAAAGCATTAATTTCTGTAAAAAAAATCTTTCTGACTTTGTATATAATGATTGTATTTAGTGTTAATTCCTGCTTTTATTATCTTTAATACTAGTATTAGCATCATTATTTTAATCACCCAGTCCTATGAATTTAAAGGCTAGTGTAATATAATAGGCTTTGTTGTCTTGCAAAATATCTTTTTTTTTTCTTTTTTTTTTGATTTTGGGTCAAAATACTGTATGACCTGGACATATATGTCCTTTTCATGATTCAAGATTCACAATTATTCATCCATCAAACTGCTTGTCCTATGCAGAGTTGCCGGGATACTGGAGCCTCATTCACAAATATGAAATTAATAAATCATACATTACATTACATTGCAACACATCTTAACCTCAACACAGGGGCTTAGTCAAGATTAACAGGAGGTCCAGTGTTGGGGGTAACGCATTACAAGTAACGCGAGTTACGTAATCAGATTACTTGTTTCAAGTAA